GGAGTCTGAATTCATGGTTTGAATAAATTTTAGTTCAAAAGTCCGGCACTTTTTCAATTCACCCCAACCCAAAAGATTTTTCCACCTCAAGCTTCTTTTTTGTTAATGTTGAATTTGAGAGAATTTTATATTTGTACGGTTACTTAAAAATGTGCTCGATTTTTGCGTGTCTCCGTTTACGAATTTGCGCATAAAGTACACCTAAATTTACTACTAAGAATCGATTGAAATTATTTCTACAAAATCTTCCGTGAGTACATAATAAATATCTTTAAAAAACCAAAATATTTTTCAATTTAAAACATTCCCTCAAACTTGAGAAAGCCAAATCCCCCCATTTTAGTGTGGGGTAATGCTTTCTTCTTTTTTCCTTCTTTTCCTTTTCTCCCCCTCTTTCTCCCTTCCTCTTTTCCCCCTCTTTTCCTCCTCCTCCCTCTTTCTCTCCCTCCTCTTTCTCTCCTCCCTTCCTCCTCTTTTCCTCTTTTCCTCTTTTCCCCCTCTTTTCCCCCCCTCTCTTCCCCTCCTTTCCCCTCTCTTTTCCTCCCTCCTCCTTCTCCTCCTTCCCCCTCTCTTCCCCCTCTTTTCCCCCTCCTCTTTTCCCCCTCTCTTTTCCTTCTCTCCCCTCTTTCCCCCTTCTTTTCCCCCTCCCTCCTTCCCCCTTTCCCCCTTCTTCCCCCTTCCCTCCTCCTGCTCCCCCTCCTTCCCCTCCCCCTCTTTTCCCCTCTTTCCCCCTCCTTCCCCTCTTTTCCCCCTCTTATCATTTCCGAATTCAAATATGAAATTCTTCATAATTTCTCCTCCGAATGTTACTTCCATGAACTTTGAATCACACTTTAAGCTCAAAAGCAAAATATTAAAATGGAATCTCAAAAACATTTACAATTGTAAATTACAAGTAATTTCCGGTCAAACATTCGCTATTATCGTTAAAAATGGCTATCTTTTTTTTTGTCTGCAAAACAGGATATGATTTGCGCTTTGAGTCTTCAGTTCTGAAAGTTCCTCAGTTTTGAGTTCCGATTCGATATTTTTGGGGCTGGGTGGGTTGGGTGGGGAATAAAACATTAGCTGGCGTGATTTCTAAAGAACACACTAGGGTGCCGGAGTTTCTCACACCCCTTGCTATTTTTAGAGAGATGTTTCAAGATAAAATGTAAGCCAAAGTGCGTAGATAAACAGACTGATTTTTACTAGCTTTTTTTTTTTTGACGACAATAACAGTTCCTGTTCTTTTCTGTTCTCTCAACCAAAAGCCAGTGTACATGGATTTGAAAAGTTTGAGGCTAAAAAGCTTGAGGCCAAAGTGCCGGAGGGCCAGTTTAATCTCTCTACTTTTGATCTGTTAAACACACACTTTCAAGTGGACTCGTACTCTTCGCTCTGTGACAATGAAAGCTAGAATTATCTAGAATTAGAAAAAAAGCTTTAACAATATCCTCTAACTGGAAAAAGCTAGAATTATCTAGAATTATCTAGAATCAGTGCTCCAGAAAGGTTTCTGTTTTACAGGTTTACAGGTTTACAGGTTTACAGGTTTACAGGTTTACAGGTTTACAGTTTGGACAAAGGTTTACAGTTTACAGGTCAAACACACAGAGTACAATAAATTTTGCTAGTAGCTGAACCAGCACTACATTCTAGTATTAGTTAGGTTGATGAATTGAAATTGAAATCAGGTGAATTGAAAACTGCTAGTAATGTTAAACTATAATTTAATCTTATGATTATGATTGGTATATAACTAAAAACTCAGATTTTATGGTTAAAATAGATTCATTTCAATCGGTTTAATTACCTTCACCTGGTGATCGGTAATGTCAAAACGCCGATTTTTCCTTAAAAGAGCCAAGAAAAACGCGAAACTTTGGGTTTTTCGCATAGCAATTTTGATTTAATAGATTTCTAGTGCAATATTTCATTACAATGTGGTAATACAGTAGGTTTTTTAAAAGCCTTTTTAACATAAAAAAATGTCATTTACTTTTTCATATATTGGGTTGGTGAATTGAAAACTGCGGGCTATTGCCGCAGTATATCAGACAATTTGAAGCACTTTCTTTCAAAGAAACCCATTTTGGTGTCAATGGAAGTTGTAGAGAATCAAAAATGAGGTTTATATCCAAATTTTCAAAACGATTCAAAAACTGGTTTTCAAGAAAATGCCAAGAAATGCAAATTTACATTTACAAATTTATAAATTCCACAAAACTTGCATTTTAAGCGAAACTACTAAGTGTATCTTTTTTGGAAATTTGGCTATAAGTCTAATTATTGGTTCTCTACAACTTTCTTTCCATTGACTCCAAAATGGGTTTCTTTTGAAGAAAGTGCTCAAACTGGGACATTCCTCCATTTTTGAGTCTCAGCACTTGTCTCACACACAAACCAAAATCCTACTACTACAGAGGAATCCGGAAATTGCCCTGTAAAATGGGTGAAGTCGTCAATACTAATGGTGGAAATTATTTGAAATGAATTGGTGGTTTGATTTGGAATGAATTGATGGTTTGAATAAATTTTAGTTCAAAGTCCGCAGTTTTCAATTCGTCAACCCAATAGGTCAATTAAGTAGCTAAAGAATGATGATTATGATTATGATCTATGATTATGATTGGCATATAACTAAAAACTATGGATTTATGGTTAAAATCGATTCATTTCAATCGGTTTAATTACTCAATTCGTGATCGGTAATGTCAAAAACGCCGATTTTCCGATTTTCCTAAAAGAAAAACGCGAAACTTTGGGTTTTTCGCATAACAATTCTTGATTTAATAGATTTCTAGTGCAATATTTCAACTGTAGCTCAATTGCGGTACAGTAGGCTTTTTAAAAGCCTTTTAACATAAAAAAATGTCATTTTACTTTTCATATAATATTAGATCATTTTTCAAAAGATCCCCAAGAAATCTCTCCGGGTTTTTCACAAGAATTCCTCGCCTTTCTGACCTAGAGTTTTCTGACCATTCAAGCAATCTTCAATAAACACTTTTTTTCTCACACAAACAGCATCAGCTCTTTATCGCTTAAAATCCGATGACAAAACGAACGAAAATCTGAAGAATTTCCGAGCAAAGTTCCGAGCAGTTTCGACGCAAAATTAGTGCCTGCGAAAAGTTGTACTCTGAGACTTCAGGACTTCTTTTTACTTTTCCAGCCTTTTATCACCACGTGGGCTAAATTTAAACCCCAAACACTTTTCTTTTTCACAACCCCAAGTTCTATCAAAAGTTTATTATAATCGTAAATTTTTCGGAAAGGAATTTCGGTGGAAAAAAGGAGGAAAAGAAAAGAAAAAGCATTCCTGAGAGGCTTAGAAAGCTTAGAGAAGCTTTGAAATGATAAACTAGAGACGATTTTGTTAGGAAATTTGTCTCCCAGAAATGATGTGTGATTTGGACCTTGAACTGACTATTGAAAGAGGAATTTGAAAATGAAAAAAACTGAATTCAGAGATTGAATTGACTAGATAATACAAGACTAAAGTCGTCTAAATTGCATCATAAAAGCCGCATTTTTGACTCCTCGACTTTAGATTCTCAAAAAAAGGAATTCAGCCATAAGACATTTAGAATCCGTTTTTATGTTATTTTTGCAGGGAAAATAATTCGCCTTTCTAATGAACATAAACTGTAGTTTAATTACGTAAATGTTGATTATAACCTGGCTGATTTTTGAAGTTCTGATCGACCCAGGGCTTTCGCGCAGCTCGAAGCATCTTGTCTTAATGGAAATGAAAATGAAAGTACAAAAAATGAAAGAAAAGACTTTTTCTGGACAGCCTAATAACTATTGAAATAAGGAAAATTGATTTAGAAACTTTTCTAAACTTGAAAGAAACTTCTGGACAGGCAAATAATAGAGTATAACCAGTTAGCCTAGTTTAGCGAAGCTGGATTTCTTCCAGATGCTAGTTTAGGATGCTGAATCTGAATGGGATCGTAACGGATCGTAGTCGAAGCGATCGAGTCAGGCTACAAGCCACTGTAACTTTCTTTAGTATTGATATTTTGGGTGTGCTTTGCTGCATTCGAAAGCTCTTGAGATTCTCTATTTTTTGAGCTATAAATCATATTAATCAGGCGGATTTGAAGAAAGTTAGAAGCTGTATTGTATTTTTCCGTTTGGATTTTCCGTTTATAGTTTGTAGTGTCTATGTCTCTTGAGCCGTCTGCCATCGCTCTTTTGTTTACCTGACTTCATGCTCTCAAAAACATCCAGACATAAGACATTTTAAATCCACTTTAATGTGATTTTACAGCAAAATAATTGGCCTTTCTAATGAAATAAACTGTAGCTCAATTCTAAATGTAGTGCGCCAAGTCTGGCCAGCCTAGGCGATTGTGGAACGTTGTAATACGTGCTCCGCCCTCTTTGCCATTGGCAATCTATCTTGAACTCAAATATCTTGACTTTGGATTGTTCAATTTAAATATTCTGGGTATCATTAGATGCGCCAAGTCTTTCTCTGTCGATTGGTATAAAACTATTTAAATTGAACAATCCAACACCAAGATATTTGAGTCAAAGTTGATTGCCAATGGCAAAGGGGCGGAACTCTATACGCCCCGCCCCTTTGCCATTGGCAATCTAGTTAGATTGCCTAGTTTGATCTAGTTACTTTGATCTGATCTAGTTAGAACAAAGTTGGACTGCCAATGGCAAAGGGGCTGGGCTGGGCGAGCTGGGCGAGGGGCAGGGTGTATAAAAGGCGCTCCGCTCCCTTTGCCATTGGCAATTTAACTTGAGCTCAAATATCTTGGTGTTGGGCTGTTCAATTTAAATTATTTTTGTACCAATCGACAGAGAAAGAATTGGCGCATCTAATGATACAACCAATATTTAAATTGGACAGCTCAACTCCAAGGAATTTGAGTTCAAAGTCAGATTGCCAATGGCATGGCAAAGGGGTGGAACGCGTATCAATGTACCACAATTATAAGAACCCAAACAGCTGCTAAAACCCTCAATCAGTCGAGTTTTTCAATAATACGAGCTCAATTCGTCACCTGTGGCGCTGGATAGATGGCGAACTCCAATTTCGGTTTCTTTCCGTACTCCATCGATAATCTCTCCATTAATAGGGACAAAAATCCAGAGCCAGTGCCTAGGATTTTAAAGAATTAGTTTAAAAATGGATCAATGATCAAATTTCGAGCAATATCCACAAGGGAAGGTCACACAGGGGAGAGCTGAGGTGCCCAAATCGAATGAGCCTTTATAGCTGCCATGTGCCAATCTTTTTGTTATTTTGTTTGTTAAGGAAGGGATCGAAAGGGAAGGGATCGAAAGGAAGGGATCGAACCTGAGCAAAAGTTGATAGCTTGTTTCGGAAACAAAGCTCTTATCCACTACACCGCAAGCTCACCGCGCAAGCTCACCGCAAGCTCTACCAATGAGCTGCACCGGCACATACACCATTGCCGCCAGGCCGCCAGGGCCTTATGCCTTACTAAGGGATTTGACCTGGACTTGGTTATATGCCCTGACTAAACTACGTGGCTAAACTGGACCAGTAATGAACAACCGTACCTCCGCCAAAGCTGTGAAAGACGAGGAAACCTTGAAGACCCGAGCAGTTCTCGGCCAAGCGTTTCAGTCTATCCATCACCACCTAGAGGTGAAATTTATTGAAATTACATTTAATTTCATTACGTCGATCATCTCTCTTCCAATCGTGTACCTTCCGCGCGCATAACAGTTTGCAGCGTCCTCTTTTCCGCTCAACAATTGCTCCGGATGGAACAGGGTACGGTAAGTGCCAGTGCGAACCTCGTCTAGAAGTTTATTGTAGATTTAAAAGCTTAGAGACGGTTTATTAGAATACTTTGTGTTTGTAAATGTGAGGTCAATGCCAAACCAACACATCCTCTCTGGATTCTATCCAGATCCTAAGCCAAGCCAAGCCAAGCCAGGCCAAGCAAGCAAAGCAAAGAAAAGCCAGGCCAAGCTAAGCCAGAGCCAGGCCAGGCCAAGCAAAGCTAAGCCAGGCCAAGCCAGGCAAAGCAAAGCCAAGCCAGACAAAGCAAAGCCAAGCCAAGCCAGGCCAAGCAAAGCCAAGCCAAACAAATCAAAGCAAGAGCTAGGATGCCAAGTCAAGTTCTGGACCTGGGCTGCCTTCTGGACTAGAGAAATTCACTTAGAACAATTCTGCTAGTGCGACCTGTGGGACTAGAAAAGTCATCACAGAAAGGCTGCATTTACAGAGCACAAACTATTATAGTAAAGAACAACCAACCAACTACAGTCGGTTCCAAATCGATGAAGAGTGCCCGGGGCACGTGCTTGCCTCCAGCTAAAAAAGTTTGTGCTTAGATTTCTTAAAGAAATGAAGAAATGACCGGGACCGACCGGTTTCGGCGAAAAAACGTTCCGAATGACTCGACGTCATCACCTCGAGTCCACCTCGTCAACCATTGTTCCGTCTAAAATCAATCCTGTATTCTCCCTTAAGAAAATTGCATCCGGCCAAACCGAGTTTGTGACTATTAGGCCAGCCGATAAGTCTTTAGACATTTTATTTCATAGTCTAACGTGCACACAGTTGCCAAAATCATCGACAACTCCTCAAGAAGGGTCCACAGCATTTGGCTACAGCAAAAATTTTAGCGAGAGTTCATTTTCCGGCTTTTGTGATGGTCTGGAGTGAAGTCTGGCAAAATCTCTTTGATCGCCATCGACAGAAACGTCAAAATCAACGCTCAAACTTATTAAGACAAGATTCTTCGAGCTCTGCGAAAGCCCTGGATCGATCAGAACTTCAAAAATCAGCCATTTTTGCTGCAACAGGACTGAGCGCCAGCACATGGAGCACGAGCAACGAAAAGACTTTCTGGAAAGCTTGAAAGAGTGTCCAAAGAGTGTCCAAAGATTTATCGGTGAATCTAATATTTTACGGTTTCCAAGTTTTACGGTTTCCAGGTTTTTGCAGCAACTCTAATCCCGCACAAGATCTCATTGTCAGCTATATTTTCGATCGGTTCTGCCAAGCGGTTTTCGAGATCTCAAGCAATTTAGGGTGACGCTCCAGGTGCGATACGATTGGGAAGAATACAGACTTGAATTCCTTTTACAACTTGCACAATTATGTGACAATTGTAAGATTTGACATTGCGTTGAGTGTTAAATTTCTATTTTTATTATTTACCCGGTTGAATCCCATGCTCTAGACAATACAACTCCCAACACGCATTCCCGATTTGCACTCCGGCCTGACCGACATGAATCGAAATGACTTCACGCTGAAAGATTTGTAGCTAGAGCTAACTGAAATTTAGACTCTAGTTAGCTAAGTTAGTTAGTTAGTTAACTAGTTAGTTAACTAGTTAGTTAACTAGAGTCCAAATATCTAAATATCTGAATATCTACAGGTGACCAGATACACCGCAAGAACTTTTGAAAAAGTATCTGCAAAATGTCCTAATTTTTTCTCAAAGTGGCAGGTGTTATATAGATTTAGCCTAATTTTCGGCAACATTTATCTCCCAAAAACTTCCCGATTGGACTTATACAACTCATTTAACAAGCGCTTGAATGCGCGCTAGTCGGACATCTCTCCGGCGAATTTGTTTATTTGGCCGCTTTCTCTATTGGTGATTCCAGTTCAGCCAAAATAGTTAAGTGTAATTCTTAATGTTATTAAGTGATGTTAAACGCTATTTTTGCATTGAAGAAATATTGAAAAGCTTTTCTTAACAATTTTCAATAGAGAAAAGCGGCCAAATAACAGATTCGCTGGAGGGAAATCGATTAGCGCGCATTCAAGCGCTTGTTAAATGAGTTGTATAGGTCCAATCGGGGAGTTTTTTGTGAGATAAATGTTTGCCGAAAATTAGCGACTACAATAGTAACACTTGTCACTTTGAGAAAAAAATTTTGACATTTCCTAGATACTTTTTCAAAAGTTCTTGCGGTAATTCTTGGTCACCCTGTAATTCTCTAATTATCTAAATATCTAAATAGCTAATTATCTAATTATCTAATTATCTAATTATCTAATTATCTAATTATCTAATTATCTAATTATCTAAATAACTAAATATCTAAATATCTAAATATTCTAAAAAGCCTACATTTCCCCGATAAGGAGTCGACGCCGATCCGACAGTTGACATTGCTCAAGGAAATTTGTGAAAACTAGAGTACGGCAGATATAATTACTGTAGCTTTAGGTTTCAAATAGTACAATTAGATGGGTCACCTGCTTTTGAATCTCTTAGCTTTGGGTGGATCTTCTCTCTTTTCTTCTCTTTTCTTCTCTTTTCTTTTCTTTTCGATTTCTCTTTCAAATCCGCGTTGCCTAGAAGCCGCAAGCACCACAATGGACACAAAACGGCATTTTAGATGAGTTTTTCTGACTGACTTCACTAATGGATCCTCTTTTTCGATACTAGAAATACTAGGAATAGATTTGGTGAGATTAGGGTTATTGGAATTACGAGTTTTGATGACCGAAAAGAAATGATGACAAGTTACAGTTAATCGTATGCCAGAGATGTTTCTAATGGAAATTTCGATTCGGAGCAGACTCGGTTTGGGCAGATCTAGCTCAAGCGTTATAATGTATGCTAAAGCGTTATAATGTATGCTAAAGCGTTATAATGTACTGCGGAAAAGCGTTAAGTTGCGTAGTTTTTGCCTTTTAGCCCAAATTTGACGTGTCAGCGAGGTCTGATTTGTCGAAATTCGGAATCTACGCATACGATTCCCTTATGGAAATATTTTCGAAGCTCTACGACCTTGCCTAAGGCCTTTTCCAGCAAAAAAAGGTCGCATTTGTCCCACCCCTTAAAGCAATCATTGTGTCCCTTAAAACCGAACAATGGCCACAGTAATCCCAAATAAATAAATTTTCTTAATAATCACAATGTTGCATTGAAATTTGATTTGAAATTTGAATTGAAACTTGAAATTTTTGAAAATTCATAGGCTAATCTTTAGCTCAAAAGTCATGTGCTTTTGAGCTAAAGATTAGCCTATGAATTGGCGCCATCTAAGCATCTTTATTTTCAAAATGATGACAAATAACACTTTATCATATCATATTTTTCGTATTTTATTGCATTTTTCGCTATTTTTCGTATTCTATTGCAAATCCTTGTGTTCTTTTTCAAAAAAAATCATTACAATACTGTAACTAGTTTTTGCAAAAAAAACTGGAAAAGGGAAAAACATTCAGTGGACGGAATACGGCACAAATTTTACTGCCACAACAAGATGCTCGTGCTAAAAGTATGATCACATTCGTTGGTCAGCTCAGAAATTTCTCGAGGGCACTGAGTTGGATTGGATCGTTTCTCGAGGGCACTGCTGGAAAGCTTGGTGTCACGGCAAAAGTTGCCCAAATTGGATATCCAGATCTTGCCTTTTTTTCTCTGCCTATTTTTCTCTGCCATTTCTTTCGAAGTAACATTTCCTGAAACTCTCCAAGTTTTACGTCTGGCCTAGTGTACATTTTTTTACGAATTTTCACAAAACTTGCATTTTAAGCGAGCCCAAAATGGAAATGCAAAAGAACTGGTTTACTGGGCACCATCGGGATTCGAACCAGCGACCCTCCGCTTACCAACCTGGCCCGCTACCACTGAGCCACAGGGACACCTTCGCCGGGCCCACCAAAGTTGACCTTTATCCCTCCCTCATTCTTTTTTCTTCCTTTTTCTTTGTCTTTCCTTTTTCTCCTTTGTGTTTCCTATTTCTTCTTGAGCAAAGAATTCCCCGGTAGCTCAGTGGTAGAGCATTTGGCTGGTAAGCAGAAGGTCGAGGGTTCGATTCTCCTCATTTCCAAATTTTCCAAATTCTTTGCCATTCATTTCTTTACTTTATTACATAACTGAAAATGTGTTTTGTTCATTGTTTCTGTTCAGTTTCTATATGTTCTGGATGATTAAAGACAAAAGAAATCCCATTTTTTCTACTTGGAAAACACAAAAAAATCGATTTTCAAAATCTGTCAAATGGATTTAAAAATTCTTCTAAATTCATTTTCAGCACATTTTTCTGCATCGAATTGATATTCGAACATCAAAATCGAATAGAAAGCGATTTTCTTTGCTTTATTTTACGCGGATGGTGGCCCCTTTTCGCCTTTAAAGTCACCATTGTGTTCCCCTAAAACCCAAGCATGACTACAGTAATCCCAAAAGTCATCATTGTTTCATTTCTTCTAAAGAAAACTCAAAAAATTTGCCCAAGTCAAGCGATTTTAATCCTTTTGTCTCCAGAATGGTGAGAAATATCATTTTTTTGGCGTTTTTTGGCGTTCTATTGCTAATCCTTGTGTTCGTTTTTTGAAAAATGATTACAATACTGTAGCTTTGAGTAAAATGAGCAACTTTAGTATGAGAAAACTTTAAATTTAGGTTTGGATTTAGATTTAGATTTAGATTTAGATTTAGACTAGGCGTGGCTCTTTTATCTTGCATCCCGAATCTGCTTTCTCTAAATCCTCTAGAGCTTTTTTCGTAAATCGTGTGACTAAAGTTTGGAATGCCCTTCCCGACAAGTTGTGTTTGATCTCCACCGTGTCTGATTTTAAAAGGGCTATTTCGTTGCATTTTAAGTGACTTTGTGATCTTTTATCTAGTACATTTTTCATGTCGTTTTCGCACTTTATTTCTTTCTGAATCAAGTATTTATATTATTTAGATTAGATTTAGATTAGATTTAGATTAGATTTAGATTCTAGATTTAGATTTGGATTCAGATTTAGATTAGATTTAGATTTAGATTTAGATTTAAATTTAGATTCAGATGTAGATTTAGATTTAGATTTAGATTAGATTTAGATTTAGATTTAGATTAGATTTAGATTAGATTTAGATTAGATTTAGATTTAAATTTAGATTTAGATTTAGATTAGATTTAGATTTAGATTTAGATTTAGATTAGATTTAGATTTAGATTTGGATTTAGATTTAGATTTAGATTTAGATTTAGATTTAGATTAGATTTAGATTTAGATTTGGATTCAGATTTAGATTAGATTTAGATTTAGATTTAGATTAGATTTAGATTAGATTAGATTTAAATTTAGATTTAGATTTAAATTTAGATTTGGATTCAGATTCAGATTTAAATTTAAATTTAGATTTAGATTTAGATTTAAATTTAAATTTAGATTTAGATTTAGATTCAGATTTAGATTTAGATTCAGATTTAGATTTAGATTTAGATTTGGATTTAGATTTAGACTTAAATTTAGATTCTAGATTTAAATTTAGATTCTAGATTAGATTAGATTTAAATTTAGATTTAGATTCTAGATTTTAAATATCGATTTAAATATATTTAAAGCTCTAAACTCCCTTGAAAAAGTTTCTTTTGAGAAAACTAAAGTTTTTTTTCTGATAAATCAGCACTTAGAGATTTCTTTTCACTAACGATTTCTTT